TGGCCGCTCCCGGAGCCGAAAACGCGGTGATTAATTTAAAAAAAACCAAATCACTCGGAGGTGACTGAGTTTATTTTCATGTTGGCAGGGTGAGAGGAAGAACACCACCTGGTAACCACCGCAAATGAAAGGGACAGGAAAAGCCCAGGCAGAGAGGCCAGCTGCAAAGCCGGGGACGAGCACAGCGCAGGTCTGCAAAGCAGCCGCTGAAGTTTTTAAAAGGGCAGATTCTTCAGGGCCGCTCTCTCTTGCTCTCTCGCTCTCTCTCACGCACACACAAACAAACACCCGCGCACACACCGTCTCCACATGAAGGCTGCTGGCAATCCTGGCACAGCTGCACAGAACTGAAAGGGTGGCGAGAGACCCCCTTGGAAGGCCACCCAAGAAGAGCCCTGCTGGATAACAGAATCATGGAATGTTAGAGTTGGAAGGGACCTTGCAGGTCATCTAGTCCAACCCCCTGCACGCTGCAGGTGCGTAGCCGAAAGACAGCCCTACAACATACCCGAAAGATGGTCGTCCAGCCTCCGCTTGAAGACGTCCAGCGAAGGAGCACCCACCACCTCCTGAGGCAGTCTGTTCCACTGCTCAACCACTCTGACAGTTAGGAAGTTTCTCCTGATATTTACCCAGTAACGACTCCCTTGGAATTTCCACCTGTTAGATCTAGTCTTGCTTGTTCAGCATCCTGTTTCACGCCAGCCAACCAGTTGCTCTGGAGGGCCAATGAAGAGGGCACAGAGGCCAAGGCACTGGTATTCCAGGGTTTGCTGCCTCTGAATATGGAGGTTCCCTTTAGTCATCAGGGCTAGTAGCCGCTGATGGACCTCCCCCATCGTGAATTCAGATTATAATCCCCCTTTAAGGCCACCGACACTCAGAACGATCACTAGGCCCACTGATAGTGAATTGCACAATTTAATTACTCATGGAGTAAAGATGTATTCCCATTTGTCTGCCCTGAATCTATTGCCCATCAATTGGGTGATCCTGAGCTCTAATAGGGGGCTGTGGTGGCTCAAGTGGTTAAGACGCTGAACTAAAGGCTGGAAGGTTGGTAGTTCAGACCCGAGTTGCTGCAGGACGGAGTGAGCTCCCGTCTCTGGCCCCAGCTCCTGCCAACCTAGCAGTTCGAAAGCAAGAAATTGCAAGTAGATAAATAGGTACCACTTCGGTGGGAAGGTAACAGCGTTCCGTGCGCCTCGGCATCTAGTCATGCCGGCCACACGACCACGGAAATGTCTTCGGACAGCGCTGGCTCTTCGGCTTGGATACGGAGATGAGCACCACATCCCTAGAGTCGGATTCGACTGGCTTTCGAGCAAGGGAAACCTTGACATTTACCTTTAAGCTCTAATATCATGGGAGAGGGAGAAAAGGTTCTCTCTAAACACTCTCTCAGCCCCTTGTATAATTGTGTTAACTTCTTTTATGTCCCCCTTCGCTGTCATTGTTCTAAACTGAAAGTTCACAGACCCGTTAGACTTTTCTCTTAGGAACAGCGCTCCAACCCCGTAATCATCCCGCTTGCCCTTTTCTGTATTTCTTCCAGCTCTCCAATGCCCTTTTGGAGATATGGCAACCAGAACTGTACACAGTATTCCAAATGAGGCCGCACCAATGCTCTACACCGGGACATTACAAGATTGGCTGTTTTATTTTCAATCCCTTCTCTCATAAGAAGAAGAGATTGGATTTATACCCCGCCCTTCACTCGGAGTCTCAGAGCGGCTTACAATCTTCCTTTCCCTTCCCCTCCCCACAACAGCCACCCTGTGAGGTAGGCAGCCATTGTCTCCAAGAGAACTGACCTCCGTCACCTGGAAATCAATTGTAATCCCATGAGATCTCCAGCCACCCCCTGGAAGCTGGCAACCCTAGCCCAGGGTTTTTCACACAAGTACACAACAGGAAGTCTCCCATGAAGAGCACACAGGGCCTCTGGCGGTTCCACAGCTGTGACTTCTGTGGCTTTCGGACTTCCGGTCTTGGGGGACCACTGTGCTCTGCAGAGGATTCTGGGAACTTAAAGCCCTTCAGAAGAGACTCACTGGGTCAGACCCCGTTTCCTGAAGTGGCCAACCAGACAGACAGCCGACAAGCAAAGAATAGCGGAGCACAGCAGCCAAAGCCTACCCTGTCTCTCCCCTCCCCCAGCAACTGGCAGGGATAGACAGTAACTGAACATGGAGGTTCCATGTTCCCGTCATGGCTAATAGCCATTGCTGGACCAATCCTCCTTGAATTTACCCAATTCCCTTTGAAAGTCATTGAACCTAGCAGCTATTACAACGCCTGCCCACCCATCAGCTCTTCCTCAAGACCTGGTCCTTGGACCCTCCATTATCCTCACAAGTGAGGGAGAAAGACTAGCCCAAGGCCGCCCACCAGCTTCATGGCTAAACGCGGATTTGAACCTGGGTCTCCCCAGCCACACGCAGACAGTCTAACCCAGGGGTGTCAAACATGTGGCCCAGGGGCCGGATCAGGCCCCTGGAGGGCTTCTATCAGGCCGGCAGTGGAACTGGCTGTCTTCTGCTTCTTCTTCCAGTTCTGCTGTTGCTGCGTCATTGTAGGTTTGCAGCTTACAGATACACACCTGAACAGCACACTCAGGACTGCAACAGCAGAGAGAATTTGATGCACTAATTCAGAGCAAGAGGTGTCAGTTATCAGACACTGTTAAATAAACAAAATATTGCAAGAGTGCTAAATTTTTAAGCATTTTTTTTTATTTTTTAAGTTAAAAAACCGTTTGCGTTTGTGTCCTTTATAAAGTTTATATCTCCGCTGCCTGGCATTACCTTTTATGACACACACGGCCCGGCCCAACAAGGTCTCATTTATGTCAGATCAGGCACTCATAACAAATGAGTTCGACACCCCTGGCCTAACCTCTCCGCCCCACTGACTGACAGTTTATTGGTTCCGCAAGTGACTTCTTCACTGGATGCCCAATTATTTCCTTTAGACCGTCCCATCTACGGCTCATCAAGTTCACTGGGTGTCCCCCAACAGGGAACATTTTGGGTGAAAGAAAATAACAGCCAGCGTGGTGTAGTGGAGTGTTGGATTGGGATCTGGGAGACCCAGGTTCGAGTCCTCACTCTGTCATGGGTGACCTTGGGCCAAGTCTCACACTCTCAGGCGAACCAACCTCACAGGATTGTTGTCCTGAGGATAAAATGGAGGAGAGGGGAATGATGGAAGCCACTTTGGGTCCCCACTGGGGAGAAAGACGGGGTATAAATTGAAAACGTGAATAAAGTTCTCTCTCCCCACATCAGTCACACACCAGGTTACAGCTGGGCTCCACTACTGCCCCCTTGAATGGAGAGTACACTCCTAGGAACCCCCCAGTCACCCCCCACTGGCAGCACACAGCGGGAGAAGACCAACAAGTCAACCATCGGCCTTCTCCGACATTCTCAGCAAGCATCTGAGAAGCACCAAAACTCAGTTTGAAAACGTCTGGACTTCATGGCTACAGAGGGGGCCACCGCAGGCCCCAAAGTGGCTGAACACCGCCTTGGAGAGGCCCTGCCGGCTGCCGCATGGATTCCCTTTCTCTGTCAGTCCCAAAGCCCACACACCTCATGTCAGAGGTTCTCCTCATATAAAGCTTTCCCTTGCTCAAAAGCCAGTCGAATCCGACTCTAAGGGCCAATGTTCATCTCCATTTCCAAGCCGAAGAGCCAGCGCTGTCCGAAGACTTTTTCCGTGGCCATGTGGCTGGTATGACTAAACGCCCAGGCGCACGGAACATTATATACACGTTGTTTATTTAGTACATCTGTACTGTGCCCTTCTTCCAAGGAGCTCAGTACTACATATATCATTCTCCCCGCCTCCATCTTCCCCTCACAACAACCTTCCGAGGTTGTGTCAGCTGAGGGGGGGGGGGCCTAAGGTCACCCAGTGAATTTCATGGCTGAGGGGAGACTGTGAGTTCCCAAGCCAACATTCTAGCTGGCGTGTCCAAAATTCTTGTGAACTCAGCATTCATGGCAAATAGCCCTACTAGGTAGAGTGGTACTAGTATCACTATACTGAAGATGCAGAGGGTGCTAAGCAGAGAGCAGCTTGCCCAGGCATCTCTGAAGCTGAGACAATTATCTAAGTTAGACTGCCTCTGGATATGGAGGTTGGACGGAGGATTACTGTAATAGCTACCAGCTCTTCACCATCCTGTGACTTTGTCCACGGCGGTCACAAATGGCTGCTGAAG